TTTTCCATTTATTTATTAAAATTTATGGAAGTATTTCTAAGATTAATGATATTTTTCTCACCCTTGTTAAACAGTATACCAAACAATTTCATCATGATTCAGAATTCTCATTACATTGGGCTTTGGTATAATAATGGTATCTTCAAAGGTTGCTTAAGTATATTTAAAACAGCTTCTGTTTTCTGAGGGCCTTCTCAATGCCAGGCCTGAGTGCGGTACTTACCAGATGTTATCTCGTATAGTCCATGCAACACCGATGCGAGGTGTTATTTCTCTTATTCAACATGTGAGCTGGTACTCAGGTTAATAACTCACTCAAAGTCTTATAGCCCTTAAGTCAGGAGAAAGAGTCAAACTCTAGTTTTTCAGGTTCTAAAGTTCAGATACTTTAGAGTACACTATAATGTGCCCCTAAACTAAATAGCCTCTAACTGCTGAGTTCATGCAGGTCTAGCCCTACTTTCTGAAGATGCCAGCTGTCGTTTCTCAAGACTGTCAGGAGTCCCTGTTTCTAGTAGCTTTACTATTCTATTTACCACAAGCTGGAAAACCATTCTGCCAAGTTAATCAGAATGATCTGTTAAAGAAGAGTTGTAGGTCACTAAGAGGCTCTCGGGTGAGACAAGCTCACAAGTCTAAGTACACATTTTGTGACATCTATTTCAGTTGCAGAGCATCAGTTTGGGAAAGGGATTCATTTCTTCATTCTGCTCTCTCAAATAAACTACCATAAACTTTATCATTGAGCCTCCCTATCTTTTCACAGTATTATTAGCAATGAGAGGTGCATAACTCAAAACAGCCTGAAGAACAAGGCTGAAGGACGATGTCATGTTAATATCACAGGGTCAGAAGGAACTGGTTAAGGGCTCTTATTCTAGACTCCCCTCCCGTGGGCCAAAATCCTCATGCTTAGGAGTTTGACCACAGGAGCTGAAATACCTACATGTTTTGGAGCTCGTATTTATTATAGATGGAAATAAATTAGTGGTTCTAACTAGGGGTGAATTTGTCCCCTCGGAAACATTTGGCAATGCCTGAAGACATTTCTGGTTATCACAATTGGGGGTAGGGGAGGTCACCATTGGTATTTGGTGGGTAGAGGTCAGGGATGTGGCTAAACATCCTACATTGCACAGGACAGCCTCCACAGAAAAACTTATACAGCCCAAATGCCAATAGTGCTGAGGGTGAAAAACCCTGGATAAAATGGAGCTTAGGCTATGAAAAGGATTTGGCCAAGGAAACTGAGCTTACCACTAAGAAAACTGAGCATGCTGAAACCAAATGCAATGGGATGGATCTTCCCAGAGACAAGAAAAGGCCTGGTAGCTGTTTCCCCTGGTAATCTCGACAGTTCTAGAACAGGAGGACAGAGGGAGAGGAGATACTTTGAGTCTGGGTCATTCTCACTCAGAATGGTCCTTTGAGGATGGGCTAATTTTGTTAAGGTAGTTCTCTACAACTAGCAATGCTTAGACACTTCCCAAAGGTAGGGAATCAAAACTCTGCAAGGGCATGTGCTTCTCTGCAGGAAGCTGCTACCAGGACTCGCCATTCCAAATCCCAGGCCACACCAGTCCTACCTGGCAGGAGCGTTCTTATTCATAAACAGCTCAATGGCACGCTCATCCTCAGGGTCCACAACTACCTCTGCATGGTGGCCTGCCCCTGTCATTGTGGCAGCCTTCTCCAGGGTGGGCCACTCCTCATCCTCATCATCTGATCCATCCTGTGGCACCCCTGGACCTGGAAGAGGGGAGATGAAGTAGATGAACAAGGTAAGCAGTGGGTGAGGGATTTAGACATCAATTTAACTTTAATCATCACGTAGAGTATAGGCTTCATGTGTGCTTGTAATAGATACAGATATGTACAGTAGAACAGATGATGCACACACTATCTTCCTATCCCCAGGGGCTTACAATCTTGTTTGAGAAACAAAATGTACACATATGAACCAATGAGATAGTGATGCCAATAAATAACAGATAAGACACTATATTCAGTCATGTAGTTGGAACTATTCTAAACACTGTACGTAACTCTCAAAACCCCAAGAAGTATTATCAAACCCAGTTTCAGATAGAGACATTGAAGCACATAAAAGTTAAGTAATTTGCCTAAGGCAGGCAGTCTGGGTCTAGATTGTGCATTTTTCACCTCTATTCTACACACATGGTAGGGCTTGATTATATGCCATATGAATGATAGAGGGCAGTTAGGCTCTGGATAGGGAGCATGGGAGCAGCCGGAGCATGTTTTAAATCTGGGTGATAACATTGGCAAGAGGGCTTGCCAGTGCTAGGCAGTAGCAAGAAACAAGGTAAAATGAAGCCAGACTGTGGAGGGCCTTGAGGCCAGGCTGTAGAATTCAGCTTTCGATGGACCAACTCATTTGAATAACTGATTACTGGGAGGCAACAGCTGACTGGGCATCTGGTTAAGGATGTAATACTCCAATCAAGGAGATAAAATGCTGCATATGAATGTCATAAAGAAGGAGTGTGTGGTAAAAGTTAAATTGGGGGAGGGGAGTTGTCTCCACATGCAAACAATTCCCAAATATCTGTACTTATAGGTAGAACTCCCTTGCTCCAGATCCTAATTTCAGCTGCCGCCCATAAAGCCGTTCTTGGAAGACCTACATGCACTTTGAACTTCACCAATAACCAACAAAACTCACTCTTTTCCTCCTAGGTCTACACTACTCACTGTGTTCCACATCTGAGTATATGGCACCACCATCACCCAGTGCCAAGCCAGAACCTGGGAGGCAGGCCTGCTTCATCCCTTACCCTCACCCCAAACATCCAATCAATTATCAAGTTCTATTCAGTTCTACCCCATAGAATCTCTCTCAAATCCTTCACAGCCCTGAAGGATGTGATCAGCATCACCTCTTGCCTGGATTAACTCAATAATCCCCTCCCTAATTGGTCTCCATAGTCTCCAACAGTTTTCCACTGTCTTTATGATGGCTTTAAATCCTAGGCACAGCCTCCAAGTCTTTCACAGATGTGGCTCCTACCCACCTCAGTATCATTAATTAATCCATTCATTCAGCAAAGTTTGAGTGCCTACTATATGTGAGACATTGTCCTGGGTTCTGGAACAGGAAAAACAAATCTTTGCCCTTAAAGAACTTACATACTAGTGGGAAAGACAAACAATAAATATACATTTAGTTAAAAGACAAATGTATGAAAAAAACAGGGCAGAGAAGTTGGGTGCGTGGAGATGGGTGGGGATGTTGCAATTTTTAATGGAGTGGTCAAGGCAGGCCTAAGGTGACAAACTGAGGGAGTAAGCCTACAGGTATATGAGGACAGAAGAAGCAACCAGGGTAAAGACCTTAACTTGCCATGTTGAAGAACAATAAAGCCAATATGGCTGGAGTGAAGAGGGCAAAGGGGTAAAGTAGAAGAGGTCAGAATGACCATGCGAGCAAATCATATATGGCTTTGCAGACCACTGTAATAATCTAGCTGTTGGGAGTGGACTGTGGGGGGCATGGGATATTAATGAGGAGCCTACTGTAACAGGATGGTATGCCAAGGTGGTGAGAAGTGGTCTGTTTCTGGATATATTTTGTAGGTAATGTCAACAGGATTTCCTAACAGATCAGATGTGGAGTGAAAAAGAGAGGAGTCCAAGGTTTCAGTCTTAAGCAAATGGAAGATTATCATACTATTAACTGAAATGAGAAGATGTGGGAGGTGCAGGTTTGGCAAGGTCTATTTTGGAATATTAAATTTGAGATTTCTATTAGACTTCAAACTAGAGATTCCAAATAGGCAGCTGAAATATAAGATTCTGTGTTTCATGGAACAAATCACAGCTAGCATATAAAGTTGGGAGCCGTCACCAAATAGATGGTATTTAAACCATGAAACTGATGAGAGCACCAGAGAAGTGAGTGAAGAGTAGAGGTAGAAAGGCTTGTGGCACTTCAATAAGATGGGGACAAGAGGAACCAGCAAAGGATACTGAGAGGTAAGAAAATAATGTAAGGTCTTAGAAGCCAAGTAGAGATAGTGGAGCCAGGAAGCCAATGTATAATTGTGTCAGGACAAACTAAAGATGAGACCTGAAAAATGGATTAAGCAACTCGGAGGTCAACACTTCCTCCTTGATAAGAAAATGTAGATCATCTTTTACTTATTCTCCCTCTTTAGCCCTTAAACAATATTGTTCTTTATGCTCAGAGCACTCTCCACTCTTTTTTTAGGTCTTAGCACAAAGGTCATGCAATCTGGGCAGCCTGACCCCTCAAGACCAATGCTGTTATCATGGAATGTATTACTTTAATTGTCTATTTGATTGTCTCTCTCCTGGGCTAGACTGTAAGATCCTGAAGAGGGGCACACGTCTATCGTACTAATTCTTTACCCAAACTATCTAAACTCCTAGCATAGTGCGAAGCACGTAGTAGGTATTCCCTAAGTATTTATAGAACAAATGGATAAATACTAGAACTTGGTGCGAGCAATCACTTCTGTTGGACTAATTTCGGGGATACCTAGAAAAGAGGGTCTAAAACTAGCAGTGGGCATAGAGGGCGCTGACCATCCTAAATCCGCTCCAGGGCTGGGTCTCCCATTCCATTATTTTTTTTGCAAGGGTGTACTATGGACCTCCCCCCTGTTTTATTCTAAGCTATACCCCTGCTCGACATCTGCCCACCCCCACCTAACCCCTCTTCCTCGCACCTACCCCTCACCACTCACCCAGCCGTGTGATGCGCTCCCGCTGCGCCGCGGGCCTGCCCCCAGTCCCATGCTCGGCCTCGAGCTCCTCCTGCTGCTGCCGCGCTTGCTGCAAGATCCGTCGGGTCAGCCGGGGCCCCACATACTCTTCCTCCTCTTCTCCGGTTCCGCGACCCCGCCGCTTTTCCCGGGCACCTGCCCGCACCGCGTCCCCAGCCAGAATCTGTTCGGCCAGGGGTGCGTGTTTTTCCTGACCTCCGGCCCCACGGGCCGCCTTGAATTTGGGCATTTTTCTCGAAAAAGTGGCTGAAAAGTTTCACACGTGGAGACGGACGAAAAAGTCTGGAGTGCGCTTGCGCAGTGAACGCCCAGCTCCCAAGAGGCCACGCGGAGATCAGAGCGCCCCTACCGTTCGGAGGCCAAGAGTGCCAGCAACACCGCCCTACCTGCTAACAATTTACGGGGCCTGGAGCTAGACTCGCAAATAATTATTGCATTTAACATTGGCTTCTGTAAACTTTGCGGATCTAGACCCAGGTGCTGCAAGCCTAGGGGGCTGCAGTCGGGCAGTGATGCCACTCGTGGCGTCACCGAGGCCCGGAAATACACTCCTGTTCTCGTGGATCGTTGGCTCGGCGCTCTGTTTTGACGTAATTTCCGGAGGGCCTCCCTCCACCGACGCTTACATTAGGGGGCTTCACTTAGAGTGGGCGGTCAAAGAAGTCTGCGCTTTAACTGTTTGGTCCTGCCGCCCGCCTGGCTCTACACCATGGGAGTGACTTGGTAGGACTGCAAGGGGTTCATTCTATGGGACGGGACTCGGGGTCGTGAAGGGCCCTCGGAGCTTGGAGTGTAGTACCTGGGAGGAGGATCGGGACCAGGGTCAGCCATACCCCAGGAGCTGAGCAAGATGTCCTCGGACTGAGTGGGTAAGGGAGACACCGTGAGGGCTGCGGAATCTCCAAGCCTCGTTCCTCGGAGATGGCTGCTCTCTTGGTTTTTTTCCCAGGAACCTCGCAATGTTTGGATACCTCCTTCCCATTTTTTTGGTACAGCTTCCTACCTGTGAGGCCATAGTACTGTCCGGGGTAGAACGTTAGGGCCGGAAATAAGATGTGCAGATTAGGACCCATCTGCAGGCAGGGCTGTGGGGCGGGAGCGGGGGGTGATAGGGGTTAGGCAACCAAAAGATAGTATCTTTTTTTAGGTGTTTGTTTGTTTGTTTGTTTTTTACCTGCTCCTCCCTACAGCCATTAAGTGCAGTTAGACCAGCCTGTGTCTGGTTCTAGTTTGGCCATTTTAAGAGCTTGAGTCTAGAGGGGAGGGGAGGAAAGAAGCTTTTGGGAATTAGGAGACTGGGTTCCAGGCACATCACCTCTTCAGGACCTGTTCTTACTACGTGTAATTACATGGTTGGTTTAGTTTCCATGGACTTTTTATCTCTTATAAGTCAGGGTGGCAGGGAAAGGTATGGGCCTAATGCTCTTGGAGGTATTAGTTCCAAAATGCTATATTTCAGGGCCTTTTATATATGTTGGTAAGTGTGAGCATTTCCAATCAGAGAGGGCTGGAGGCCAGGATATCTGAAGTCGGTGGCTGTAGACTACTCATATAAGAAACGGTAGGAACTCCTGGCAGCCCAGGTTCTTGCACGTTTGTCAGTGATTACACCTTTGTTTCCTACAGTTGACATCATGAGCCTCCTCTGAGTCATCTAGTATAAGGGAGATGAGCGAAGGATGGAAATGAGAAGTTTTCAGCTCAGGCTTGGAACCTTGGAAGCCCCATTTGTTCAGTAGAGAAAGCAGACAGAAGGAAAGGGCTCTCTGTTGGGGACCCCTGTCAACTTTTTCAGACTCCTAGGACTTCTCACCCCAGTAACATTAGTTTAGGGATTCTCTTATATTTCAAAATAAGGCATATCATCGTTCTTTATCAGTGCTTTTTCTGATGGAGAGTAGCGACAGTTTTTAGCAACAGTAGGACTCTGTAGCTTCCTTTAGTTGATCATAAAGTAATGCAGTATTTCCCAAAATTAAGTCGTATGACTGTCTTTATGATTTTTGTATAGCTAAGTATCACCTGTACTATTATTTATTAATGTTTTCAATCTATTCCTTTTCCTTAAAAGCTACATCCCTAGGAAAGCAGTCTAGTATAGTGGTTAAGAACGCAGACATGGAGTCAGCTTCCCTGGCTTTGAATCTTGGTCACACCACTCCAAGCTGTGTGACTTTGTGCAAGTTAGTCAACTCCTCTATACTCTAGTTTCCTCATTTTTAACAAGGAGATAAATAATAGCACATATTCTAAGGCAATTGTGAGGATTCTATGTTAGAACGCAGACATGGAGTCAGCTTCCCTGGCTTTGAATCTTGGTCACACCACACTACAAGCTGTGTGACTTTGTGCAAGTTAGTCAACTCCTCTATACTCTAGTTTCCTCATTTTAACAAGGAGATAAATAATAGCACATATTCTAAGGCCATTGTGAGGATTCAGTGTTTAATTCATCTCAAGGCCTATGGGCACTGTCCAGCACACAGTTGAGGCTTAGTGATTGTTACCGAACACTTTAAAGGGGAAGCCAGTGTCACTCACTATAGAAGGAAATCTGGGAAATAACATTTTTTGTTTCATTGTCTTGATTAAATTCTTGTACATGTTTTTGCTTCCCCCTCCCAACAGTTACAAACTTGAGGCTTTCTCTTAGATCCTAGGGCTGTCAAAGTAGAACTTTTTGCATTGATGGAAATGTTCTATATCAGCACTATCTAATACACTAGCTCCCAACCGTAATGGCTGTTGAGCCTTCAAAATGTGGGTAGGGCGGCTGAAGAGTTGAAATTTTAATTTAGTTTGTTTTATTAGTTTAAATGTAAATGGCTACATATGGCTTGTGGATGTTATACTGGACAGCGCATGTTCAGAGTGATAGAGTTGGGAAGGACATACTAATCCCAAGTTGAGGCTTTCTCCTTGACATAGTCAGAACTAAAAGAATTGCAAAGGTAATCCTTTCTTATTATATGACTCAGTATTATCAAATGCTCAGTCCATTTGCCACCTAAAATCTCTTGAATGTTGGCACGCATGCCATGCTCAGGAAATTCTGGCGTAATAGATAGGAAGTTCACTGCACTGGTGTTAGGGTCCTGAGATCTGTGCTCTGGTTTCTAGAGGAGCTCTCAGGCACTATGGGTCTCTATTTTCTCATCTTTAAAATGACAAGATCAGTGTAGATGGTCTCTAAGGTAATTCCTGGTCCTGATGAGTCGTGATTCTGTGGGTGATCGAGTGGCTCAGCGAGTGCATGTGTGTCTCTGGATACTGATGATTTGGTCATCTCCCTTCCAGTGTGTCCCAGATGCCTGTGGCTGAGGGTAAGAGTGTCCAGCAGACCGTGGAGCTCCTCACCCGGAAATTGGAGATGCTTGGGGCAGAGAAGCAAGGAACATTTTGTGTGGACTGTGAGACCTACCACACAGCTGCCTCTACCCTTGGCAGCCAAGGTCAGTGACTGGGTCTGCAAGATGGCTGGAACCTGGCTTGGAGTTATAGAAATTTATGTTCATTGAAATCTTTCTGCTCTTCTGCTAAGGGTGGTATTCTTGAACATGTGGCAGATGTGTTTCTGAATTTATTAATTCTTGGTCTTTTATCTCTTAGACTGGGCCTATATTTTGATCTTTTTGCACTTTGCATTTTTAAAGCAGTGTTTCTCAGAGGGTTAGTCACTGACTAACTGCATCAAAATCATGTTTACCTGTTAAAGGTGCAGTTTCCTGGCCTTCTTTACCAACTGACTACATTTTAACAAGCTTTCCAGACTCTCTTTATACACTCTGAAGTTTGAGAAAGATTCCTTTTAGGCTCAGCAGTCTTTGTATAGGATTCTAATAGAGTTTTAGAGTTTTTAGAGCTTTCTGCAGAAAGGCTTCGTGTTTCGCACACCTAGACAGTGGCCTTAGCTACCTCTTTAGCATAACTTCGACCAATGAATCAACTTTTGTTTTAAATATTTTAAGAGGTGAGATAAGCTGTGGATAGTGGTGGCAGTGGTAAGGAGGCAAAGAAGCTCTTTGAATAAGAGTTAGGAACCTGGATTCTCTTAGTTTTGGTTCTGCAGTAACTTGACCTTGACCTTGGACGGTTCTGCAGTAACTTGACCTTGGACGATTTCATAGCACAGTGATTGTGAATCTAGATATGGAACCTGATTACTGAGTCCTGGCTCTGCCACATACTAACTGCAACTTTAGGTAAGTTTTACAACCTGTGACTGTTTCTATGCCTGTCATTTGCTTATTTCCCACAGATCCATTCCTTGAACCTCCCCTGTAGACTACATTTGCCAGGCCCCTTTTCATTACCTTTTGGCCAGTGAGAGGCATTGGGGAAGATTAGAGGACAGGAGAAAGGGAGACTGCAGTATCTCTCTGCCTCTGCTTTGGACAGCGTCTCTGGCTGTGTCTCCTCCTTAGTTCTAGCTCCATCTAGACAGCCTTAATTCCTGGCTCTAATAACAGCATTTCTTCTCTTTTTCCTTCCAGCCTTAGGGATGGTAGTGTCTCCCTGTGTTGCCAGCCTTATTCTATTTCATTTTTTAGTTTTTCTACTGCCGTATTTTGTTCCCTGTATTAAATCTCCTCTAATGAAACTATCTGGTAAAGGGCTCTGTTTTTTACTTTTCCCAGTATAGTTCTCTCGTCTATAAAATGAAGATAATCGTAGTGCTTAACCTTCTAGTGTTGTTGTGCCAATTAAATAAGTTAATACACTCAGAGTACTTAGAACTAAGATTGTCATATAATAAACCTCTAATAAATGGTAGCTAAGAGCTGTACTGAGTTTATCATCTGTAAAATTTCATTGTTACCATTTGTTTTGCTTTCAGTAGGAAGAATATAAGAATCAAAAGCGGTAAGTTATGAAAGAAAGCATTTGGAAAACAAAACATTTGTTTATAGATATATATACTACTTTTATGAAACTACCTAGTGTGGGCTCTGTTTTTCTGATCAGACCTTTATTTTCAACGAGTTACAGTCTAGTTGAGACAACACATTCGTGGTAGGCAATGGGGTAGAATGGAAAGCAATAAACTTGAGGTCAGAAGGCTTGGATTTAGAGTTCTAGCTCTGATGCTTTTTGACTCTGTGCCTTTAGATCAGCAATTCTCAATGCTGACCAGCATTAGCATCACCTGGAGGGCTTGTTAACACAGATCACGTGTCCCTACTCTCTGACTTTTTGACTCAGTAGGTCTGGGGTGGGGCAGATAATTTGCATTTCTAACATGTTCTCAGGTGATGGTGGTCTGAGACCCCTTAGCTAGCTTCATTTTCCTCATTTCTGCAAGGGAGCCATTTGGTTCTGCTTGCTTCACACGTTTGTGCAGATAAGAAACTACTTTGTTGTGATTAAAAATATAAACAACTGGAAGTGCTTTCTTTATTAAGAAATAAAATCTTAGTTGACTTTCAAAATATTTTCAAGATAGAACACCTGCAGACTCATATGAATTAAGTATGTAATTATAGTGAGTTTAAACAAGAACGGAAGGACAGATGAGATTTAGATATCTTTTTTTTTGTTTTGAAGGTTGAACTGTTTGAACTGGATTTATCAGGAGGTGAAAGGTATGAACTGGCAGCAAGCAGTCAGGAGGGATGTGGGGAGAGGTTTGTGTAGAGCTTGTTGTGTTCAGGAGGTGGCAGCAGAGTGGAGGCCTGTATAGAGGTCACAATGCCCCCTGTTCCCCTACCCGCTGTTTCTCTCTCTTCCTTTGCTACACTCATCCCTGCTTAGAATGTCTTCTTTCTTTCTCTGTATGGCTGAATCCTACCCTCTCTTTATATCCTAATTCAAGTCCTTTTTTTCCCATGAGTTTTTCTGCTGACTGTTGCTCACTTTGATTTCTTCCTACCCTGAAGTCTTTCCTTCCTTCCAAAAGACTACAGATCTGTCCCAGGTAAGCACTTTGGTTTTATTGTCTTTTTAAAGTTTTTTGTCTATTTCTAGTGAAAATTTTAGGTTCTCGAGGCCAGGGGCTAAGTCCTCTACTTGGATGCCTGTGCTTGTAAACCGTAGCACAGTGTTGGGAGATAGTTTAACTACATAATAAATATTTGGGATTGCGCCAGTCTATCTATTAACTCTTGTAGTATACGAGAGAGGAGTCTTGCTTTCTATCTTTTACCTTCTTCCATTTTCCACTTAACCAAATGTGTATAGTGTTCCTTCCTTCTTACAGAAAATCTATAATAATCAGTGAGAAAACTCATTTCTCAGAGGCTAGAAGGGATGATTTGGGGCTTGAAACCAGATCTTGTGATTCCAGATTCTGTGTTCTTTCTGCTATAGTGTACTGCTAGCTTCTCAAGTCGGCTGATGTCTTAAAATTGTCCAAGGGTTCACCATTATCTTCAGGATGAAGTCCAGACTTCTTGAGGCATAGAAGACAAGACTTAGCCCAGCTTGGTTCTGGCCTGCCTTCCCAGCCTCATACTCAGAAACTCCACTTTGTTTCATCCGTGGGGCCCCTTCCTGTATCTCCAAGAGTGGGGAAGCCAAGGAAGGTCGGGATGGATAGAAGAGAGTGTCTGCTTCATTTGGCATACTGTAATGCTGTTGCTTTTATTTTTCTTATTATGTAATATATGATTACATAAAAGACTATACGTAAGGTCCTGTGAGTTACTAATCACCATCATTAAATATCTATCTGTGAGCCCATCACCCAACTTAAGAATTCAACTGTTGTCAATGCTAGTAAAGTTCCCTGTGTGCCCCTCACCTTTTTCTGTGGAGCGAGTGGGTTTTACCACATGCTGCCTTGCCTGCTGTTCTCTAGTAAAGGCTGTTGGTAAGGGGTGTCTCCCCGCCACACTCCAGATTGCTGAGGTAATGCCAGATTGCCATCTGGCCTTGTTCTCTGCATTTGACTCTATTCTGGAGTTTGCCGATGAAGGTTTTGATGCTGAGTAGGATCTCCATCCCTGCAGGTCAGACCGGGAAGCTGATGTATGTGATGCACAACTCAGAGTACCCTTTGAGCTGCTTCGCCCTCTTTGAGAATGGCCCTTGCCTCATTGCTGACACCAACTTTGATGTGCTCATGGTAAAACTCAAGGGCTTCTTCCAGAGTGCTAAGGCCAGCAAGATTGAGACCCGGGGCACCCGTTACCAGTACTGTGACTTCCTAGTGAAGGTGGGCACAGTCACAATGGGGCCCAGTGCCCGAGGCATCTCCGTAGAGGTAAGACCTTGGTGAAGTAGGAGCAGGAAGCGCTGAAGGGGCTGCTCAGCAAAGGGCTCTGCAGATTTCCACATCCTTCTGAATGCAAAATTTATGCCTCCCTAATTCCTGCCTCCAGAATATCTTTCCCCACTCTCCCTGCACCTTTTACCCTTTCTTTCATCATTCGGGAACTCTAGCCCAGGATGGGAATGGGAAGCTGGGTTCACAGCAGGTAGAAAGCTTAGGAAGGCTGGCTTGCTAGGGAAGGGAAAAGACAGTCAAAGGAGACGGGCGAATTATGATGTGGAGAGACCAGTCACCTATCACAGGAAGGACTGAAGCAGACCAGGGCAACTTTTGGGAAGTGGGTCCTGAATTGTGTCCACACACCTCTCCTTAGTATGCTTTAAGAAAGGTCTCAAAAGTTGTGTAGCTGCCTTCCTTTTGCCATGCTGTCCACTTTCATGGTGGAAAGGGGTGCATGTGATGACTTCATCCTTGAGGTATATGTTGAAAATGGCAAAGAGGGAGGAGTGTGGCATTAGCTGGCTTTGGGACCAGTGAGAGTCCACAATCTACCATGCTCCCAGCACTGTGTGAGGTAAAAAAAAAAAAAAAAAGTAAGCCTGCTTTTTGCAAATTTATGATTTAGTGAGAGAGCAAGACCGAAACACATGAACTGTTTTTGAAGTTAGTCTGTAAGAAATGCCATGAAAGAGGCACAGATTGGTCTGGGAATTCAGACCAATGAGAGCACTGCTGACTTGGGAGATTGTGACACGTCCTGTAGGAGTAGCATTTAAGGAGGGACTTCAGGTGTAGAAACATGGGGATAGGTAAGTCCCAAAAAGAATCCCTGATGGAGAGAAGGGCATTAGTGATATTTTCTGTTATGAAACTCCAAGGATCTTGAGGGCCAAGATTTTCTGACCCTTTTCAGCTTGTGACACACCTTGCATTTGTTGAGACCTATCGGGAACATACTGTTTATTCACCACATTTCCCACTTGTACTAATACACCCCAGCTGTGTATTTACATGTTTCTCCTTATGGTTACCAATATTTTCCCCCTGCCATCTTTCCAGTGACAAATTAGGAATGAGAAAGCTGAAGATGTTTATCCTTTGGCCCTAGCCACGCTGGTGAGGAAATTATTTCTTAGGGTCCAAGACTAGGCTGGATTTACCTTGGGAGTAATGTTTGGTCTTGAAGAGACTTATGAGCATATGTGTCTACTTTGCTCTCTATGAATCCCCCAACACACTTTTTTTTGCTCTTCATTTTGTCTCTCAGGATTTTCCTGAGCTCTCCTTGAATCTTCACCTACCATAGCAGGGACTGTACAGTTCTGAGATAATCCAGAGGTTCCTATATCTGCCTCTGGGTTTTGTGGGCAGGGCTGGGGATTGATAACTTTAAAATGAGAATGTCAAAGAAGCCTAAAGGGAATAAATGCTGGTATGTGGAATCCTTGGCATTTGAATTAAATATTTCCTGCCCAGCAACAGTGCTAGGAGGTGCGTGTCTTTGGCTCAGAGATGGGGAAGATGGGAGCATGGGGCAAGAGGTGCAAAGGAAGCAGAAGCCCTCATCTTCGCCTGAACTCACCCTCATTCTGTGTTTCTTTGATCCCCAGGTGGAGTATGGCCCCTGTGTGGTAGCTAGTGACTGCTGGAGCCTGCTGCTCGAGTTCCTACAGAGTTTTCTAGGCAGCCATACACCAGGGGCTCCTGCAGTGTTCGGCAACAGACACGACGCAGTCTATGGCCCAGCAGATACCATGGTCCAGTACATGGAACTCTTCAACAAGATTCGCAAGCAGCAGCAGGTGCCAGTGGCTGGGATTCGTTAGTGACAAGCAGCTGTCTGGCTGAGCTCTGTCACCAGGGGACTCCACAGGAGGAGCAGGTGCTGCACCCTCAGGCCTCTGGGCCCCAGAAACCCAGGGCAGACATGGAGGCCTCTCTCCCTCTCCTGTTCTCAGCTGTGACTTTCATTCTGGGGCTCTGGACTCCTCTTCCCTGACCCTCACATAAAGCCCCCTGACAGCTGTCTCACCCCACGCCTTACTGGACTTGGCCTGTCCTCAAGAACGGTAATTACAAAGAGTGGAGAAGTTTGGAGCTTTCCTGCTTTAGGGAAAAAGGTAGGACAGGGGTGTCCCTGCCTAGTGTTGGTGGGGAGAGTTGTCTATATCTCCAGTTATTGAAGATTTGGCCTAGGCCCACAGTGGGTAGGCTGCATTTTGTGTTTGGGCTATGCTATAATAAAAGCCTCTTCCTCTCCTCAAAGGATGCGCTGGGCCCTTTCTGGAGAAGGAGTAGGAGGCAAAACTTGTTTGAAGGCTGTCATTTGCTGACCTGTTTGCTGAAGTGAATTGCGAGTTGACTTTTCTAGGGTGTTGCCTGAATCTTTAGAAGTCTCTCTACCTCTGACATTTTCCTCTTCTGCTGTGAATTATGTTAAGCCACAGACTAAGCTGCTGTAACAAATAGTACCTAAAGTACAGTAGCTCTTAGAAGTTTAATTTTCTCTCTTCTAGGAGTGCAGAGGTAGTCAGATGGTCCAGAGCAGATTTAAATTACATGGTCATCAGGAACTCAGTTTCCTTTTATCTTGTTTAGTCCGCTGCCCCCCTATTCCCCTGTTGTCCTTGCCTGCAAGGTCAAATCATACTCATTAGCTCCATGTATACTTTCTACTGGAGAAAGAGAGAATAATGCATATATTTTTTTAAAGGATATTACCTGGAGTTGCTGAAACCTCTGTGGCCACACTTTGTTGAAAGGTACACTGGGATATAGAGCCTCTTATTTGGGTAGTTATGTGCCCAAACTCAAGGGGTTTTGTGACTAAAAGATGGAGAAAATGAATGCAGGGGCCCAGTTCGCGGCCTCTGCTACATGGAGCTCAGTGGATGTGCCCAGGAATGCTCTTAGCTGTTACTTTGCAGTTAGTACCCCCTGTAACTAATCCATTTGTTTATGAATTGGTTTGGGATAGGGCTGACGCCAGAGCCACTTTCAGTTTAGCTGAATTAGTCACACTAGGAAGCCAGTTTCTCACCCCTTGCTTAAGTCTCAACAAGGCCTCCAATTCTCATGCGCCTGGAGCTTAGCGTTAGAACAGTTGACTTGATACTTGCTTCATGAGTTCTTTCTCTTCATCTCATTGGGGCCCCCATGCTGCTCATCTGACTGATATGGACTGCCTGCCTACCTCTCTCCTGCTTCAGAAATGTTCAGTCAGGCTAACACTGAGATACACAGTCAGAGATGGTCTTAGGAAATGCATTAATGTACCTACTGCTGTGTTGTCCTCAAGGTTACTGTTTCTCATTGAAGGAACCTAAAGAGAAGTAGTTTTTGGACCTAAGGGCTCAAACTAAAGCCTCTGCAACAAGAATCAGGTAGTGGCTATGTTTCCCTTTTAGCTTTGGCTAGCAGGAAGCTCAGTTCAACTTTTTAACTGCAAGACCTGTCATCTGCATTTTTTTGTCTCACATCCCCCTGGGTTTTTTTGCTTATTTCTTTGTTTTGTCTTTACTTTTTTAAAAATTGAAGTATGTTTTAGGTATCATTTACACACAATAAAATGCACAGATCTTATGTTTTGGGCCTTCTGATTTATATTTGCTCTTGTCTGATTTATCTATTTGTATTTTTTATGCAGCTGCCTGCAATCTTTTGTGAGATGAGACAGCATTTTGGACATGTGTTCCTAATAATATATAGAAAATTGAGTGCGGTAAATATGACTCTCGACTCATTAATGCATAAGGAGGGATTCTGTTCTCTAAAACCTAAAAAGTGATATAAACTCCCAAACTATACTTTGTTTTTAAACACAGTTTTGGCTCCTACATATCCAGTGTTCCTCACTTTTGTTCTTTTCTCTTATTTTGAGCACACATTTGACCAGATTTAAGTCCAGCGAACACCAGATCAAGCTTTAAGAACTGCCACTTTGAGTACTTTTATCCACCTTTGTCCTTTTTATCAGTTAAAGTTTATCACTGAAAAAGGCGGGTAATGCAGTACATTTTAACCAATATGCCTCCACTTGCAAAGTTGCCAAAACTGAATTGGTAACTACTGGGAAGGGCCCAAATGTCATCCAGCTTTTGTATGCAAGTCTGAATGGGACTTTCAGAAGTAATTTAGGATTGTCAGTGTTTACATTTTTGAAAGTTCAGGTTGAATGAAAGTTGAGGAACAAATGTATAAATTTAAGGGAAAAAGGCATGGTTATCCTCATTTTATAAATGAAGAAACTTAAACTTGGCTGGCTGGTAAATGGAAATGCCATATTTTGGGATTCAAATCTCATGTTCTTCCTTCTACACTAGGCTGTCTTCTGACCCAGCTTCTTTTGTTCCAAATGTGTTACCCTTTTCCCTATCTGTAGCTAGGGAAAAAGCAAAAACTGGGAAATTTCTAGGACCCTGCTAACGAGTCACCTTGCTGGGTAACTTTGCCAGAGCCACATAGAAATCTGCCAGCCTTGCCTGTCAGGGCAGCTTTAGGGCTCACCTAGTTTTCCTTCACTATAAGATGGGGAGGCGGTGGCTTCCAGAGAGGTCATGCTGAGAGGTGAGGCTGGAGTTAGGGACCAGACTTCAGACTCAGAACTCCTGGCTATCTGCGTGTGTCTTTTGGACCTCTGTGTGGTGTCGGGTGATTTCAGGTGGAATATGGAAACTTTTTTATATTAATACTTATGTCTTATTCTAATGTATATCAGAGAAAAATCTAACTAGTTCTTTATTCCTTGGGATGAGGGTAAGTTTTTTTAAAAAGAATACATTTAAAGGGAACTATTAAGTTTAGTACAGGTTATACCTACGAATGGCAAAATGGCAAAGTGGAGGCAGAAGGCAAATGCTGGGATTTGTACTCTGCTTTGTGTCTAGTCCATTTCTTGTATTCATTGATGGTTTCTGCTCTGGCTCTGCTTTCCTCTTGTCTCCTGTGATGTTCTGATTTTCTGTCCTCTGTTCTCTGATCTTGAGTGCCAGGTAGTCACATTTTCCCCACCATCTATTGTGTCACTGCTCTACTAAAGGAAATACCTAGAAACTGATTACTCCTTCCCACTACTGGATCTACCCCAACCCAGTGTGTCCAGTATTCACTGCTGAGGTTTCAGGATGAGGTAGTGAAATTTTTCTCTCCAAATCCTGCAGGGTAAGAGGAGCAGTTAGAAATTCCCACTGAAACATGTCCTCCAGTTGTCAAAAGTTGAAACTCTTAAAATACAATACAGGAAGGGCTATAGGCTGAACCTTTTGAGGACATTCATAGATCTAGAGGCAGGCAGGACTGATATATATATGGCTTTGTCTCCAAGCCCATACTATAACTCGCAGTATTGCTTTTCCCTCTCCACAGCCTCCCCCTCTGTATTTGCTGTCTGGGTGTCTTGGGCTGTGGGCCTCAGTCACAATTGCCATGTGGAATGACTGAAACCAGTTGCATTACAAGTTGAGCCCTCTCCCAGGGGTTGGTATCTTTGGCCGTTGAGCTGTCATTTCTTAGGGGTGGCCTTTCCCTGAAGGTGAATTTCTGCCATCCTGTAGAGCACTCCAGATTCAGTCTCTTGGGTTACAAGAGACCCTTTAGGTTTGATCATCATTCAGTATTCACATCTTTACACTGTCCCTTTTTGATGTCATACAGCCTTGACTTGGCCTCATCTAGAGAAATCCTTTCCTCTGTATTTCATCTCTTTTCTCATTAACTCTGAGACAAAAAGCAAAACATACTTGCCCTTTCCCTTCCAGATTGTGGAGACTATTGTGCTTAATGAAGAAATTTATCATTAGTTGGTGCTGAAGTATGAGCGAACTATGTCTCTAAAGTTAGGGGTTCTGACGTTACTGCAGATTACTAACCCCTGAAGGGAGCCTCAAGAGGCCTGTATGCCTTGAAACTGGACATGGTTTTGTGTATATGTGCAGTTTTTTGGGAATAGAATTTATAGGGTTCAGTAGAGTATATCAAAGATTTGTGATTCTGTAAAGGGAGGACACTGAAGGAAAACAGCAGGAAGACAAAGATAAAGCAGGGGTGATATATGTCCACTCATCTCATTGTGAGCAAGACCTTTTGGACCCTTTGTCTGGGGTCCTTTCCAGGACATTTCCTCCTTCATTTTGTAGTACTTTAGATGTTTCAGTCAGTTTCTATGAAGCTGGATTGCTTTCCTGCTCATATCTTTCCTATAGGTTCCCCCTTGTCTCTTCATATGTATACATACAGCCTTTTAGAGATGAGTGGGAGTAAATATGTATGAAGCAATCTTTATAGCTTTCTTGGTGGCCCCAGGAGTTACTCTTCTATTATGACACACTCCATGGGATCTGAAAATTATTATTGTAATGGAATTTGGCATAATGAGCATTTTCATTTTTCAGAAGGATGTGATTGATGAGGCAGTGAAATAGTTCCTAGTCTATGATGAAATTGGCAAGTTAAAAAAAATTCTTGGAACTATTAGGGCAAAGATTCCTAATTCTTTTATTATGTTTTATTTCCTAACACATTCCTGCCCTATCAAATGGCATCAACCTGTTTTTAACGTTAGTATGAATTCTACTGAATTTTCTTTGGAGACTTTAAAAAAGAGAATTTAGGGACCATATTTATATGTCCTAGATTGTCCCAAAGGCAGAATTCAGTATTGGAAATCTTCTGTCATGTAGGAAAGGCAAGGCTAGGGATGTAGATGTGACAGGTGTTCCAAGGCAGCCTACTAAAGGAAAGAGAACATGTGTTAGGAGACACAGCTGAGTCTAGCCATTGTACTATCCCTAACTTGTCAGGTAACTTCAATCAAGGTAGCCTTTCTGGGTCTCATCTGTAAAGTGGAAATAATGATACTGACTTGCTATATTTCATCGGCTCCTTGAGGGTATTGGTGTTTGGTAGGATGTTTAAGATGGGAAGTTATGGGGTCATTACTACTTCATGGCAGGTTAAAATTCTCTAGTACAAAGAGTATTATAATAGAGAACGAGCAATGTATGTGGAGAGAGTGTTTAGAGAAAGTATTCATGTATAGGTGTATTTTTTGTAACCAAATTAGTAAGCAGTTGTATGGACCATCTCTTGAGCATAGAAATATATTTTTAATCTCATTCATATTGATGAGATTTTACTCGTTCTGTAACCTAAAGGAAAAGAGATTGGGCTTTAAAAATAAAAAAGGTAGAGTAGAAATGACCATATCTTTTATGTGGAGCATATCCATCCCTGTTTACACTCAGCTCCTAAGCTTATGTCATGGCTGTCTCTAAACTTTTTTTTTTTTTTTTTTTAATGCCATGTATATCATGATTACACTCGTAACCAGTTGTGTCTTTAAAGGAAAGTTTAGTGTTCTTTATTGTAGTTTGCATTCTTCATTGACAAACCACCTAAACTCTTAACTCTAAAGCTACAACAAACCTTTTGTTAGCTATCCTATGTAGTCTTTTCATCTTTGAATTATCAAAAGTAGCCTTCTTATTCTTTCTGCTTCTATCTAGTATGCAGTTCTCAAATGTTTTGGTCTCAGGACTCCTTGATGCTCATAAAAATTATCACGTACCCCAAAGAGCTTTTGTGTGTGTAGATTATATCTATTGATATTTACTTTATTAAAACTTATAATGAAAAAAATGAAAGTATTAATTTATTTAAAGGTAACAGTAAACCCATCACATGTTAACATAAATAAAAT